TATTCTTTTCATCAAAATGATATTTGTAAATCATTTTTAATGATATAGGAAAATACTTTTATTTCAAATAACATGGGAAAATTAGGATAGCATATAATCACAACTACTTTTTAATTATTAGAAAAATACACCAAGGAAAGACAGCAAAATAACAACTGATTTTCTTTGGATGGTAGGATTATTGGTAAGCATTTTTCTTATGTATACCTTCCCATATCTCACAATTTTTGAAAACAAGAAATAGGTACTATTTGTGTAAGTAAAAACCTTCATGCTTAAAATGTTATAAAATCACTCTTAATTTTCCGTATATTTCATTTCTAGCTAATTGCTGCAATCACTTCGGTAGTTTAAGATGTATATTTTCATAAATTATTTGAATTAGAACATAATTCTGTTTGAAGACATGTGTGTCAATGCTGTTATGAAAATAGAAAGAAAGCCTACACTAGAACTTTCCTCCAGAAAAAAAAAAGATATACACTTGGAAATGCCAATGTATTTCTTTGAGTTATATCTTTTAAAAATAAATGCATGTGAATATCTCATCTCTGTTCTATGTTTCCCCATATTAACCTGAATTCATTGTGAATATTAACTATAACTTCATGTGGGTTTTTTGGGAAGAATTTAAGAATTACTTTTTAAAATTATTTTTAGAAAAGAAACTACTATTTGTGGTTGCTAAATGTTTCAGTTCCCAGAGTTGGAAATATCAATTAAGTTTTAGAACAAATTCCCTTTGTTTTGGGAAATTCACCAGGATGGAACTTTTAATTACATAAAAGTACCTATCATTGTTCCTGGAGAAAATTGTGAAGTCTCCACAAATTTGAATGTAGTAATATAAATGGCTGCATTTTTAGGCAGACTATAGACCTGCAGAGTTAGAGAACTGTTTTCCGAAAATATGGACACAAACAGAATGTCAGTGGCCTCCATGTTAAGACTGAATTATCCAAAAACTTGGGAAGGACATTTTCAACCACTATAATTGCATCATCTAACCCTTGACTGTCAACCCATGCCTGGTTTCTTCTGCTAAAAGAACAGGTACCTATTTTCAATATCAGTCTAGGTGGGGCAAGAATTGATGGGCCTGGTCCTTGGGGCATTTCTGAAATATAGGACCAAAGAATAGGGGTCTTGAAGTGAAGGAACATGGAAATTTCTCCTTGGCTGGAGTAGTGCACTGGTGTCTAGACACACAGGAATCTGCATAGAGCCAGGCTACAACCCCAACACTGTATTCTAATGTCCATGGTAAATTACTGAGGTACCAGAGTTTATCTCCCAAACAGTAAAGCATCATTGTCCCTTACTTTGCTGAGATTTGGAAAGTTTAAGAGAAAGGGTATGTCTATACTAGGAACAAAACAGTGTGTTGTGAACAGTATCAGTTTTCACTTAGAAATGGCCAAAGGTGACTTGGAGAGTTCTGTAGGGCAGAGTGGTCACCAAGATGGGTTAGAGGGATGTGGTAGCATTCTCTAAGGATTCCCAGAAATACTTGAGAGAAATCCTAGAAAGGAGATGTCAGATTTAAATAGTCTGCTCAAGTGTTAATGGCCAATCATAATGGCTTAAACAGTAAAAGTAATGTAACTCCAAGCTAGATAAGGGTCTGCTGTCTATGCATGTATAATCTAGTATTTATAATACATTAAAACACAGTTTGGGACTTTCAGTCAATCAGATACCAATTTTGAGTTCTCAGTTTAAGTTGTTAAAATGTGTTTATCAAACACTTCACCAAAAATATCCTTCACATTGTGTTTTCAACTCCACCTAATTTCTGATTTTTTTTCTCTTGACCTAAGAAATTATCACTCCATTCTTGTAAGTCTCATTGTTAGTTCTTTTTTAAAAATTTTTTAAATTATTATACTTTACATTCTGGGGTATACGTGCAGAATGTGCAGGTTTGTTACATAGGTATACATGAGCCTTGGTGGTTTGCTGCATCCATCAACCTATCATCTACATTAGGTATTTCTCCTAATGCTATCCCTCCCCCAACCCCCACCCCACAACAGGCTCCAGTGTGTGATGTTTCCCTCCCTGTGTCCATGTGTTCTCATTGTTCAACTACCACTTATGGGTGACAACATGCGGTGTTTGGTTTTCTCTTCTTGTGTTAATTTGCTGAGAATGATGGTTTCCAGCTTAATCCATGTCCCTGCAAAGGACATGAACTCATCCTTTTTATGGCTGCATAGTATTTATACTTTCTTCTCCTCCAAGCTAACATTCCCTTTTTATTTACAGGGAAAGAATTCGGAGAACACACCTGTTTTGAAGAACAGACTAAGTCACTCCAAATAATAAGATAGGATAAGTCAACCTTATACTCCTGTTGGGCTTCAAGAGGCATCCATATGTTGTCAAAATCCTATGGACTCAGCACACTTCTGAGGAAAGTGGACTGAATCACTGTCTCCTGCATAAGCATCATGGCTCCCACCACATGGTTTCAGTGTAAACAACCCTGCAACCCTGGTCACTACCTCCAGGACAGTCTAGCCCTCAGGTGGAGCCAGAGATAAATAGTGGCAAGTGTCCGAGAACCACTGAACCAGCAGAAGCATCCAGATTCCCTGTTCATGTTGTTTGACCAGATTGGCTTCTCTTCTCAAAGAGCAGATGAAGGGATCCTTCATTATTCTCCCACCGACACCTGCAGTCCAGGTGGCATCACCAGTCAGGCAGGGGACCAGTAGCGGACCCCATTTCTCTGCCTTATTTCCAAACCAGGTAGTCTGGAAAGTCTGAAAAGTGCTGTTATTATTTTTATTTTGGAGGAAGGAGTGCATACAAGGGTTTTGTGGGTGGAGCAGGTGCAATCCTGGGCCTGTAAGAACGCTGTATTTGCCTCTTTCCTTCCCTTCCCAGGGACTATAACTGTCCTTACCAGGGAATATCTAGTCCAGTCCCTTAAGGCTGAAAGCTGGACTCCAAATTGTCAGGGTGCAGTTCACCGATGGGTGTTCCAGGGCTGTGCCCGGAGACACAGAGGTCAGGGGCCTCTTGGCAGTACCACATCAGGGGAAATCCAACTCCAGTGCGAGCAACTGGGAATCAGAAGCCATGTTGAGTAGGATGGCCAGCCGGAAGGAGGGAGCAGGTGAGAGGGCAGAAGAGGATGGTGAGGGGCGATAATGGACAGGCAGAGGGTAGCTCTTGGTGGGAGTGAGTGTGGCAGTTAGTCCCCATGGCCTGGATCATTTCAGTGGAAAATCTTTAATACTGCATTACTGCCTCCGATGTGAGTTATTCAAATGGTGGTGGTCCCTGGATCTGTGAGCCGGTGGCGGCTTTCCAGCTTTCCCTTTCTCTCTTTCTCTCTCTTTCTCTCTCTCTTTCTCTTTTTCTTTCTTGCAAGATAGAGTTTCACTCTTGTTGCCCAGGCTGGAGTGCAGTGGTGCTATCTCAGCTCACTGCAAGCTCCACCTCTGGGCTCAAGCGATTCTCCTGCCTCAGTTTCCCTCCCTCCTTCCCTTCATCCCTCCCTCTCTTCCTTTCTCTCTTTCTTTCTCTCCTTCCTTCCTTCCCCCTTCCTTCCTTCCTTCCTCCTTCCCTCCTTCCTTCCTTCCTTCCTTCCTTCCTTCCTTCCTTCCTTCCTTCCTTCCTTCCTTCCTTCCTTCCTTCCTTCCTTCCTTCCTTTCTTTCTTTCTTTCTTTCTTTCTTTCTTTCTTTCTTTCTTTCTTTCTTTCTTTCTTTCTTTCTTTCTTTCTTTCTTTCTCTTTCTTTTTTCTTCTTTCCTTCTTTCTTTTTCTTTCTTTCTCTTTTTTTGGGAGTCTCACTCTGTCGCCCAGGCTGGAGTGCAGTAACTCAATCTCGGCTCACTGCGACCTTCACCTCCCAGGTTCAAGCGATTCTCCTGCCTCAGCCTCCCAAGTAGCTGGGACTACAGGCATGCACCAGTGGTAGCTTTCTAAGGCTCCTCAGGCTCACCCTGTAGGAAGCTGGCACATTTCCCACAGAACTCAAAGGTGGCTGCTACACAAACACTTAGACCAAGCGGGTACCTCTTCCTGGGGTCACTAACAAGCTGGCTTGCCTCACAGTTAGGGACTGCAACTGCTGCCCATCCTGTGAAGTGTGGAATTCCACTTCCTCAGATGTCAGGATCTTTCCGGTGTGGAAACAGCCTCGTATCTGTGTGTCACTCCAATACTGCCCAGTCTTGTCTTTTTGGGGGGTCCCACTAAGTCACTTCACATTCATTTTCATTTTCCTCCCACCTCATTCTCACTTCCTGATCATTTTTTCTCTATATTTATACTTTCCTTACTGATTTATTCCTTTCTTCTGTCAAGACACACTTTATTCCTTCTAACGAACTGAAGGAGATCAGTCTGAATTTAGAGCACATACAACGCCAGGCCAAGAGACAAATCAGTGCACACTCAGAAGATCATTGCTACACTCACCTCAGTACCTCCATGCTTCCTGAATCCCAGGCTCTGTGGATGGAATCCAGGAATCTCCTATTGAAGCAAAACCACTAGGCGATTCTTGTAAACACTAGTGTTTGGACCTGCATCAACTCTGACTCCTTCCAGGGCAGGCTCTCTGTCCTTTTCATCTTTGTCATCCAGTGTTCATGATAGTGTTTGGTTAAAAAGTAGGTGTTCATCAAATGAGTAGTGAATGAAAGACTAAACTAATGAAAAAATGACAAAATTGAATAAATATTGAAGCCCTAGCCTTAGGTAAAATTGTAGAAGAGCAGGTGTAATCAGCTTTTTATCCTATCATGGCTACCAAATTTTGCCTGGCCTCCCAGTAGTTCCAATCCTTCCCTATACTCTTGACCTCAGTAATCCTAATAGGAGGTTCTCTGAGGTCTTATCCCACAAACCAAACATTGTGTTTCTGTTCATTGCTTCTTTTTTAAAAAATTTACTAAAAGCTAATTGTACATTACCTCATTCATTCACAGCCAGGGTCTCTGTGTCTTTTGTGTTGATAGCTCCTTAATAAAAATAAATATTTGGTAATAGGACAAGGGTAAATGAGTTTCTTTAGCATATTCCCTCTCTTCCTCTGAGTTCTTGTGGATTCATCTGAATAGTGCCTTCAGAAGACAACACTATCCAATTTCTTTCCCCTAATCCCAAGGTGAAATTCAGATAATGAAAACTTCAGGCTCCCTGGCAACTAATCTAAGCAAAAGAGCTTTGAAAAATGTATTGAATAAAATAAAATATTTTATTTGTAGCCCCTGCTATAAATAGGAAAATGGCCTTTTCATCTTTTATTGTTGTGGCGGTGGTTTTTAAAAGAAACTACAACTATGTTATTCTCAACATTTTTCACATATTTAAAACTAAACATTCATTTAATAGTAATATGTTCTAGATTTTTAATTAATGAGTTTTTCAATTGACAAAGATTTGCATACATTAATCATGATGTTTTGAAATATGTGTACATTATGGAATGGCTTAATTGAGCTAAATTAATATTATGTTTTGTAAAATAAATTTTAAACTGAAAAGAATAATCTTTTCCTTTTAAAAATTACTATTAAGCTCTTATTACTTACCAAGTAAATTTCTTTTTTTTGAGACAGAGTCTTGCTCTGTTGCCCAGGCTGGTGTGCAATGGCGCATTCTCAGCTCACTGCAACCTCCACCTCCTGGGTTCAAGCAATTTTCCTGCCTCAGCCTCTCAAGTAGCTGGGACTACAGGTGCATGCCACCATGCCTAGGTAATTTTTGTATTTTTAGTAGAGACAGGGTTTCACCATGTTGGCCAGGCTGGTCTTAAACTCCTGACCTTGTGATCCGCTCACCTCGGCCTCCCAAAGTGCTGGGATTACAGACATGAGCTACCATGCCCAGTCAAAAATTTTTATTTATAGTTTGAGCCACCAAATTTTAAAATGTGATTTGCAATTTTAAAATTAGGTAAACATATAATATTCTTATATACATGCTTAATTCTTACATCACTTTTTCCTACAGGACAAAATATAAGCCCACCTAAATATATGTAAGCTAAAACTTACCCTCGACAAATGATAACTGTGATATAAAAATAATTGAACCAAATTGCCAAAATTAAATATTTTAAAGTAGGGCAAATCAAAGATGATAAAGAAATTAGAAGGCAGTTAAAATGTTGAAACGGTTTGGGATGACCAAGGTATCCCAGTGGAATGAACAATCAAGAGAGCTTATGGAATTCATTTCTCATGACTTCACAAAAAGAAGAGATTCTCCCTATTATAGGATGACTTAAATGGATTGTTGCCAGAAGGCAAGAGGATGTACTGTACTAGATAAACACTCAACAGTCTTTGGCTTTACAGTCCTTTATTCTTACCCAGTCTTTCTATTCCTGAGGTCCTGGTATTTCAAACTTGATCATCAACTTATTTCTCTATTTTTCTGTAGTGTAAAAATACGTATTTTTAATGTAGTTTCTAAGCTTTGGTGATATTCAAGTACATTTAAGTCAGTAATTTATTTTACTTGAATAGGACCACATGGAGATTTGGTCCCTCTGGGCATGGTTTGAGGGCCTTCAGTTTCTGCCCCTTTGACAGTGTTAGTTGACACTCGTTAATTTTCTCCTGTTTTTTTTGTTTTGTTTTGTTTTGTTTTTTGTAAACCCAATAGGACTTAAATGTAGTTAAGATACTTTGAATAAAGTAGTCTATACTTAAATTTTTATTTTGTTCAGGCTCCCATAGTAATAAATCCTAAGAGGAGGACAACATCCAGTGATTAAAAATAAATTAGGAAAAGGGACTTATAATTAATATAGAGGGCACATACATATCAGAGATGAACACGTTTCAAGACTGAATATGTTCAACACAAATAAAAGATATAAATCTTTTATCTTAAGGGAAAAAGGGGGGAAAAGAAAATGAATCAGAAATCAGAGATGTATACCTGGTGATTTCAATAACAAGCATGCTGTATGCTCTCTTTTTACTTGCCTGGTCAATTGTGAGTAAAAAACATTTGCAGGGCTGAGGGTGTGCCACCCTGGAGTGGCACTAAGATCCTTGCAGCCCAGTGTTCTGCTGTCACAGAGCTGACAGGGGTTGCTGTGAGATATTGTGAAAAGCACTAATATAGAAGTGTAAGATATGGGATTATGGGGGATGGACATCCGACTAGCTTGTGATGGGACAGGGCAGTGGCTGAGGGTCTCAAAGGTCCTGCTTGAATACACTCTGCTGAGGGTGTAGACTTATTCCTGAAGTTAATGAGAATTTCCCGGAGAGTTTTAAACAGAAGAGTGTGATCAGAGCCTCTTTTAGAGAATACACTTTGGCCACAATGCAGTAGATATACCAGGGGGGAGTGAAAGTGAAAACAAGGACATAAGTTAAGAGGTTTTCCAGGACAGAAACAGTAGACGCCTGAGATAAGGCAGAGACAGGTAGAAAGCAAAACAATGAAGAAGGGAACAGGGACCCACTAACAGACTAGCTACTACCTGAAGCACTGCCAGGTACTGTGGCAAAGAGAAAGGTGCTAATTGTGTCGTGACTCTTAAAGCTTCTTCCCAAAAGTGACATCCTATATCCACTCAGAGTTCATAATCCAAGGTCACATGACCATCTCCAACTTCAAGAGGGTAGGGAAGTGGATTTCTACCACATGCCTGGTAGCAGAGAGAACCAAAATGTTTGGAGAAGTGTCTAATAGCTACATTTCCTAGTCTATAATCATTACCTAAGGAGATTCATTGCCAGTTATATGTGGATTCGTGAGAAGAATACACCCTAAAAGAACTGCTTAAAGACCTGAAGGGTCTTTCAGTCTTGGCCATTTAACTTGCTGAAATATTAAGTGCAGTCAGGGAAAAAACACTTTTCACTTTTATTTTCCCACCCTAACCTTGTGTACATTCTCTTTTCTTAGCCCAGCTACATGCCCTTTGGAAGCATGGTTTAGTCATTCAATAAATACTGAGCATCTACCATGTGGCAGGTATTGGAGACACAGGGACGAACAACGCAGACATCTCACAACATCCCTATCGTCAAGGAGCTTAATATCTATCAGAAAAATAGAAACTAAGCAAATGATTACATTTTATTTACTTATGATTGTAATAAGGGATGGGAAGGCAAACATATTGTGCAATGAGAATGTAAGAACAGGGCAAAGTAGAGTAGTCAGCTAGTTGGGAAGTTGGTCAGGTAAAAGTCTGGAGAATGATTACAAGCAGAGAGGAAGAAATGCTTGTGAGAAGGCCAAAAGGTAGGAAAGCCATTGGTACTCACGAGCTAACTGAAATAAATCCAGTACGGCTGAAGCAGAGTAATCAAGAGAAAAAGGCAAGGGGCTAGAGACTGAAGATGAGGTGAGATCACGGAGGTAGTCATAAAACAAATTAAGGAGCTTACATATTACGCCAAATGCTGTAGGAAGTCATTGAAGAGTTTTTGGCAAGAGAATGACATCATCCATATAGACAATGAGGGCTGTCCGGAAGGAAATTTACAAGAATAATTATTAACGTATTGTACACAAAAGCAACTCATTCCTTCACCATCTTCTTTACTCAAATGTACCTCTTTCATGAGCACCCACTTTCAACCACCCCCTATTTAAGATCACATCTCCACTCCTCCCACACTAGCCCTCAGATCCTGCTTACTCTTTTACAAGAGCATTTACCACTTTCTAATATTTTAGACAATTTTCTTATTAGTTTATTGTCTATGTTCTCTTGCTAGAATGCTTTTTGCCTAGAAAGTGCTTGGCATATGGGTCTTGAACAAATATTTGATAAATTAATGTCACATCACATTATGATTTAAAGCTGTCTTGTAAGATGATTTATCTGTCAGTGTTTATGGTTTAATATATTTAATTTAAAACAACTATCTCCTACATATATGGCCCTTAGGCAAAGCATATACTGTGATTTAATTCTTATTCTTTTTTTTTTTTTTTTTTTTGAGATGGAGTTTCACTCCAGGCTGGAGTGCAATGGTGTGATCTCAGCTCACTGCAGCCGCCGCCTCCCAGGTTCAAGTGATTCTCCTGCCTCAGCCTCCCAAGTAGCTGGGATTATAGGTGCCCGCTACCATGCCTGGCTAATTTTTGTATTTTTAGTAGAGATGGGGTTTCACCATGTTGGCTAGGCTGGTCTTAAACTCCTGACCTCAGGGGATCCACCTGCCTTGGCCTCCCAAAGTGCTGGGATTACAGGTGTGAGCCACTGCGCATGGCCGATTTAATTCTTAAATATGAAAATTGCTCTTGCAGCAGAAATTCATCATAAGCTTATTAAGGCTTATGGAAAAGTGTTTTTAGTTGGTAAAATATCAAAGCTTTGAGCAAATTTTAGGAAGAAATATTATGAAACATGGTCAAGAATCATGAGTCACAGTGTGACAGATTAGCTATTTTACAATGTGGCTACATATACCTATCAAAATGTACTACTGTGCTAACAAAATTGTAGTTTTTTCACAACACAGCAGTGATTAACTCTATAAACCTACTTTTGAACAATTATTGTAGCCTTACTTGAAGGTATTTTAAGGACTCATATGCAGTTGGCAAATTACACCTTGTGGCAATGCCTAGAATTCCTTGGAGTAAAGCCATCTGAATTGAAAAAAAAAAAAAAAAAAGGCAGGTAGTGTCCTTTTAATTTCTCTATGTATCTGACCTCATACAATCGAGGTTTCTGAGTTCAGAAATTAAATTTTCCAAAAAATTAATTTCCATTGCCAATGTCGTTACTACCCATGATTTCACATTCATTCATTTATTAAATTCATTTATTAGGCATAGACTAAGTTTTACAATTGTGCTGGATGTTGGTCCATTTATTCATTAGCTCACTCATCAAACATATCTGTACTGAGGAGAGGCACAAATTTTAAGAGGTAAAATCAGACAGTTGCAGAGTCAGTAAATTCATTCATCTATAAAAATTGAGAGGGCTTAGGTAAATAAAGGAAGACATTTGCTTTTTATAAAAAGAACACATCCAATTAGCACCAATTTCAAAAGTTACTTTTGCTGTAGTTAATGCTGAAAGCAAGATAAGATTATGATTAAAATTATTTGTGTTAAACATATATAGATATATTAAACCAAATATAAACACCAAAAAGTAATTATATTATTTGAATTTTATGTTTAACACTATGAAGAAATATGTTTGCATATTATTAACACTCTACTTTCCAGACCACTTGAAGACAGCTTAAACATGAAACTATAGTGCAAGATAATAAGGCTAAATTGGCAGAATTCTTGCTACCTTCATTTCCTGCCTCTACACCCTTTGTTAGAAATGGGACTACTTTATTCATACTTGCAGGATCTATGCTATTCCAAGTCAAAACTAAGCCTGATACAAGCCAGGTAGTATTTAAGAATGACATTTAAGTCTTGTTCTAGATTTTTTCTTACCAGCACTCCTCCCACTTAAGTTGGAGTCCTGCCCCTACCCCTAGTTTGCTGACTGGGCTGTGATTCCTCATGGCAGATTTGCCTGGCTAACCAACTACTGCCTGCTTGGCTCTCTGCTTGCTATGTCTAACAAACACCAATTATTTTCTGGAATGTTGAATGTTATCTTAGCATATGCAATTTGGGCTTAGGCACCTGCACCTTGAACCCTGGAGGTAGGCTGAGGTCTGCATCTCATTTTTTTTCATTTTTCCATAGCTGGCCCCGCCTAAATGAAGCATCAGAGTACATGCTTTCAGCAACAGTTAAAGCAATCTACATATGCTTGCTTATAGTTATAAAAATTAGACATAGATTGTGTTAGAATATTTTTCCACACATGTAACAAGATTCAGTACCCCAAGATATCATCCACATTATGATGGTAGCTAAAGTTATTTAATTTCTCAAATGATTCTGCTAATTGCTGTTCTTCTGGAAGTTTCCATATAAGAAGAAACTTGCTAACCGTGGAATGAGTACTTATCTACAGACCAGATTTCAGACAAGCCCCTGTCAGATAGCCCTACCCACAGTCGTGACATTTCATCTACTCTGTGGGGCTAAAACACATAGGGCATTATTTAATGATAGGTACTTTGGTTTCCGGAATCAAGGAGGCCAAGACTAAACTGACAAAGTTTTATCTTGAGTCAGTGAAGTATCAAGTTCCAGAGGTATGTGTTCAGCTTTCCAGACGATAGTGACACTTAAAGCTATCATAAATGTCATATACAGCTTTTGAAATGGTCACTAAGGGGAACCAAGTGGCAAAAGACTATCTGGCAATGAGTTCTGTGACTGTGGTCAGTTCCCTGTCATGAAAACGATTCCTTGTACATACAGCTGTATGGGATGAAGCAAATGAGAATAAGGATATGGAAATACCTCCAGGATGGCCAGTTGAAGCTCAGACAACTGCTACTAGAAAAAACACAAGATATATTTTAAGAACTTAACTGATGCCTAGTAAGTGGCAAGGCTGCTGGGGGATTATAACCCCTGAAAGATGAAGTACTTAAGCAGACATAATTACCTTTAAGGCCTTATAAGCAAGATATTGTGTGTCTGAGGTGGGCTGCAAACAGAGGCAGCCACATAATCCATTACTATAGTTGGAAATCAATCAACTCTCTCTCTCTCTCTCTCTCTCTCTCTCTCTATATATATATATATATATATATATAGTTTCCATATATATATATGAACTATATATATATATATATATATATATATAGTTCAGAATGGACTATGGCTTCCTAATAGAGATCATGTGATAATGGCAATCAGTAACATTTCCAAATGCAACCAGCAATAAATCATGCAGCTGCTAAATAATGTTCCTCACTGGATAGCATCAGGCTGAGGGCTAAAACCCCCAACAAAACTTCAAAGAAACAAAAATCAGTATTTGTTACTTCAGTTATATATATGTCTTGAAAATTTTGTGGAGTATTAATAAGAAATACTTTGATATCCCTAATAAACATTGTTGCATAAATACTAAATTTATCAACTTACTTGTTTGATCTATATTTTACTACTTTTGCCCATGAAATGGAAATTTCAGAATTTTATTGTAATGCCAATGTTGGGTTTTTTGTTTGTTTGTTTGTTTGTTTGTTTTTGAGATGGAGTCTCCCTCTGTTGCCCACACAGGAGTGCAGTGGCACAATCTCAGCTCACTGCAACCTCTGTCTCCCGGGTTCAAGCGATTCTCCTGCCTCAGCCTCAAGAGTAGCTGGGATTACAGGTGCATGCCACCATGCCCGGCTAATTTTTGTACTTTGGTAGAGACAGAATTTCACCATGTTGTCCAGGCTGGTCTCAAACTCTTGGTCTCAAGTGATCCGCTCACTTCGGCCTCCCAAAGTGCTGGGATTACAGGCAGAATGTCTGTTCTTTTTTATCAGCAAAATAGCGAACTTGACAGGGGCTGTAGAATAAAGTGAGTAACAATGGAAACAAATTGTCTCCCCATATCTACCAGATATAAGAAATGCACCATTAACACTGACATGGGTGTCATAAACCAAATGTACATCTCTGATAATGCTCACCTAAAAGCATCTGATACAGGGACTAAACAAGGATCCAAGCTCATGAGAGACAATGCCAGACAATTTCTTGAGTTTTGTTTATATGAATAAGTTTAAAATCATTCACAATGAAAAGAGAATTAACCCAGTTTTAGGCTGAATGCGACACAATTTTAAGGTGAAGACACCTGTTAATCAAATCAATAACAGCCATAAATTGGGAGTACAACAATTAACTCACTCTTAAGTTTCTCCATGGGAAATCGTTGGCACTCCAGCATTATTCTAATTTATTTTCCAACTTAAAAGTGAAAAGTGATTCTCAGCTGAAAACTTTCTCCAAAATAACGTTTTACAAGAAAGAATATTATATAATTTGTTTTATTATGCTTTCATTTGGGGGTTTATTTGGGAACTTTCTGATGTGTGGCTAGCATAATTCAAGTACAGTATTTGAACAAACTGCAAATGTAGTGTCCACTAATTATCTGAACCTCCCACAACAATGTTCTGTGCTATGTATGACTCCTGACTGTCTGAAGCATAAGTCCTTGGACAAAGGAAAGTACTTGAGGCAAATTAAAAAAGAAATTCAATATTGTTAAATGCATTATGCTCTAGAAAGACTAAGGTTGCACTTGTTCTAGCCAAAATTAGTTTAAATAGTAACACAGCAGTTCATTCTCATCTGGTTATACTGAATACCAAATAGCCTAAACTTTCCATTCCTCTTTAATATTATTGTTACTAGAGAAACAGAAATGGTTGACTATAAAGATCTATATATATGTGTATGTGTATGTGTGTGTGTATATATATGTACATATATATCTGTATATATGTACATATATGTATATGTGTGTATATATGTACATATATACATATATGTATATGTATACTTATATGTGTGTACATATATACACATACATAAGTGCTTATATATGTACACACATATTTATATACATATATTT